CTTCTCCTTCTCCTTCTCTTTCTTTCTTCACTCCATACTCCCTCCATCTTCTCTTTACCATTAATTTCCATCAATTACAAATTCACTCCAATCAAACATCCATCATAAATCCGAATCACACCAAACCCCTTCCATCCACTCCATCTCCGATCATTCAAGAATTGAGTTTGGTACTTGACAGTATTTGTTTCTACACAGTATACATAAGAAGATAAAAGTGGTACTCTTATTATATTCTTACTATATTCATACTTTATTCCTTTGATACTCATACTATACTCAGACCATCATATCCCCTAGTCCTTACTATTCGTCCCCAGACTATTGACACGGTTGTGCTTATCTATCCGCTTTGGAAACTTGGGGTCTGCGATAAGATAGAGATCCCCTGCCTGCCTGCCTGCCCTTCCACCACCACCACCACCTACCTAATCCTTCCACGCACTACTTCTACTTCTACTTCGTCTTCGCAATCGGAAAGGGAAGTTGTCTCATCTTGTCCATTGCCATTGGATGGATGATTTGATCCACCAAGCTTTTGGGTATGTGTACGATATATGTTTTACTTATTTATTTGATACTTCCATTTCCTTCCAACAGCGAGAAGACAGTCAGGTATATCAAGATCAATTCATTAAACTGTGTTTGCATTGCATGGCATTCATTCATTCATTCATTCATTTACTCACACTTATAAAATCACAGATGCTCGACTCGAATTCCTCACATTCCTCACAATAACCACGTCCCAGCCTTATCTATATCTCCCAATCCATCGATTTGGCTTTGACGGTGGCATTACAACCATCACACGACTTCCCACAAATAGCAATATAAACATTCCTCCCGCAACAACACACTACATTTTTGCTAAAGGATCGTTGCGCTGGTTACATACATACATACCCTCCCAATATCTTCTTACATGTTGAATCTCGACCATAAACAATATTTAACCATTCCAAGGTTGCAAGATTGCTTCAATTCAATAATGGCTACAATTGCTCTCCCCAGACCCATTCCCGCAGGGCACACGAGATCTTCTTCACCACCCCACTCACACCCGTTAACTCCCACGCTAAGCCTGGATTCTCTCAATTCATCGTCGGCCTTCCCAATTCCTATTCCAAATAAACATCTACCAGTATGCCCACCGGGTCCCACCCCATCCGAGAAACCAGATACCCCTCCCAACTCCCCACCAACCAAAGAACTTTCTTTGTCCCAACGATCAATCCTGTATCCGCCCGTCAATTATAATTCACGATGTATTGACTCGTCCATAATATATGAGATTGACGCCGGTGGTGTAGCTACTGCGTTGGAACATTTAGCAGGCCAGCCTCTCCCTGATCCCTCCCAAGTCTTTCCATGGTTTCATGGCCTGCATCCCTCCAATCACATCCAACAAGCTTTCTTTATAGCACGGCGGCGAACCTTGCGCAGAACCCCAAAATGTTTTCGAGGTATAACCATTGTCAAGGCCGATGGAGATTTAACTTCTTCGAGACTGAAAGGTGCAATCACTCCTGACGAGTTCTTGAAGTTTGGAATCACGACGGAATTTCAAGAAGTCGACCCCAAAGAAGGATTTTCGGTCCGCAACTTTCAAATACAAGCCGCGAAATCTGCCATGGTATCAGACATTATTGTTTACGGAGAGGATTCGCGTAATGTCGAGCGACTGGCGAGGGAGATTGCTGCTGCACAACAAGCTGTTCGTGAGACTCATTTCAATCAAGGACATGAAATATCTCAATACAATACATTTATATGCACTAGTGCGTTCAGTGAATTCGAGGAAAACTATCCACACATTGTTTCGGTGGATTCTCGGGCGAGGTGGACTGGGGAAGTCATGGATTTCTTTCATCAAGAGAGAGTGGAGATGTGTGCCATGACCAAAGCTTCGGAAATCGATCATAATGTTTGGTTGGGTCCAACCCCAGATGGATACGCGGAAACTCGCCAAGCGTCTTGGGAAGGAGAATTCGATATTCTCATCGAATGCAATGATCTCGGCCAAATCAATCCTCGAGAACTACAAGACATTGCAGAAGGGAGATCAAGTAAACGACAGTTAGGATTTCCATCTTCCGGAATGATTCAACCACCATCCTGGGAGCATGAACAAGCCGATGGGATTCTCGAAACTTGTAAATGGATATACAATCTTTCTCACGGGATTTTGCCTGAAGATGAAGATGGTGATGTTGATTTGATCACCAAGACAAAGGAGAGAAAGATCCTGATTCATTGTACTGATGGCTACACCGAATCTACACTCCTCGGTCTTGCATATTTCACTTATGCTACCGGTCTCTCTATCCCTAAAGCCTGGCTTGAATTGCATATTGCAAAGAAGCGCAACTTCTTTGCATACCCGCAAGATGTCAGTCTCCTTACAACAATCGCACCTCGGCTCCTTTCTGAATCGCCTGTTCATAAAAGATCAAGCTTATTGGATATTACCGATCTTGCCAAAGAGGAACCGGAGTGGATAAAGTGTATGGATGGAAGTCTACCTTCTCGCGTTACTGACTATATGTACCTCGGGAATCTCGGACATGCTAACAATCCGGATCTTCTACGACGTCTTGGCATCAAGCAGATTTTGAGTGTGGGTGAAACTGCAACATGGAAAGATGGCGAAATGAATAAATGGGGAAAAGATAATGTGATGGTGATCCAACGGGTGCAAGACAATGGAGTAGACCCGTTAACCGACGAGTTCGGACGATGTTTAGATTTTATCGGTATGGTTTCCCCCTATGTGCTACAAGAGACCACTTGCTAATCAAACAAACAGAAAGAGGCAAACTAAACAATACAGCAACATTGGTTCATTGCCGGGTAGGCGTTTCTCGGAGCGCAACCATTTGCATAGCCGAAGTCATGCGTACAATGCATCTTTCATTTCCGCGTGCTTATTGCTTTGTCAGAGCCAGAAGATTAAATGTTATCATCCAGCCACATTTGAGATTTAGTTATGAACTCTTGAAATGGGAAGAGAAACTCAAGATGTCAGGAGGCAAGTTTGGGGGAAAGTGGAGAGGCAGGGAATTGGAATGGGCGGATATTGCGAGAGAAATTGCAGAGATGAATAGACCGTACAGCGCTGGTAGATGATGTTGGATTGGAGTGACATCATATGGGATGGTATGGATGGATTTGGAGTTGAATATTGGGTATACTTACTTTTCATGGGAAATTATGATGTTATGATTGGGGTCTACTTTTCTTCTTTGGGATGGATGACGAATGATGGTTGATGGGTGGGATGGATTGGAGGACATTGGATACATACCCCTTCTCGGTTCAAACGTTTTGGTAATTTGGATGCGACTTTTGGTTACGATTGGATTACGATATGATAGCGACAGATACCACATTCTTTGGCAGCGTGTAGGAACGCTTGCAATTATTCTTAGGGATACCTTTAGGGACTTCAGGGAAAAGGAAGTACGCAATTATACGGTGTTCGGTTTTGAATTTTATATGGTTTCTGGGTAATGCATCTTGTGAAGTCTGCGTAATTGATGATTGATGACTGGTGATGAGGATAATGGATGTTACTTGAAGAGTAATGATGTGGGTGCAGTGCCATCAGGTTACCTTGATGCCGGGGGTATAGTAGTGCCTACCTAGACCTGCTACTACAACTCTTCTTGCGATCGCTTCTTACCATAAGTCAAGAACTAGTGTCATATCTTGTGCAGTCAATTGAATCACTAGAGCCTTTATTCTTTTAATCATTTTATTATATGTATGCAAAAAACATTGTGATTAACTTGATATCTCCGAGCTATTTTCTACTGTTGAAAAGAAGCATATGTCAATACTATTTAGAGAATTCTGTTTAGGGAGTACTTAAATTGGATGGAAGTGAGGGGGGGGGAGGGGGGTTGTGGTGTGGTTAGTGAGGATAATGAGGGGGGAGTATCTGGGGGACTCACATAGTATTTTCTATATCTAAGTGGAGAATTAAAAGATGTATTGACTATGAATCGAGAAAAGCGTTGTGGGTTGCTCATGTAGGCTGTACAGTATGATCCAGGTTACTGGTATATCTTTCATCTCCTTTGAGTACTGGAGGAAGGAGGAGGAGGTGGAAAGTCCAAGGGAAACTGCTTTCATTGACGATATCTGCCATGTATCACATATCCCACCCATCCAAATTTTGATATCACAACATCATCACATCGTCGAAATTCCAAGCACCATCATCGTCCCGTGATATTCATCACATCAACTTCTCCTCCACTACTAACCTTTTGAACTACCACTGCGCAGCGCCGAGTTCTCTCGGAACTCTATGGTTTCGAGGTATACTTCTCCAGTTGAAAGAGTTGTGAACAGGATACTGGCAGTGAACCATCTCATCTCATGGTTTCTTTCGAGTCGTTCTGCTTCGTCGTTTTGTACGTACAACACTTCTCCCCCACTCTTGAGGCTCGAGATACATTGCATGGGTTTTGTTTCAAACACTTGTTTTCAACATCCTTCACAATCATCCACGGTATCCTCCATCAAATGATATGATGAATTGATCCCTAGGTAGGTAGTCTCATCATATACAGAAATGCAAGAAACCAAACATTCGAAGAATTTGACGTTAAATAATCGACTTAAATAATACGTAGATGTAGATGGTTATTGCATCCACATCCGCGACTCCCAGTCTTGGCAACTCAAAAAGGGGCGGCAAGGTGAGCGGGTCATGGTCATGGTCATTGTCATCATCTCCGTAGGTAGAATGCTCATGGGAAGGATCGACGCATGACACGGGGCGATAGGTGGTACCATACCTTGAATATCCAATTTTACTTTTTGCGAAATTTATGGTTAAATTCTTGCTTTTCTTCCTCGTCTCGATTTACCCATTGTTGAATTGTTGTTCTGATCCGAGGAAAGCTTGTGCGTCACGTTTCGTGCAGAGAGAGGTATTGATTAACTTTTTGATATCACCTTTATTAGAGCCCGAACCAGAACTCGACATCATGACGGATAAATTCACACAAAATTGCTATGCGTGGTTTAATGGCGGGGTGGAGACCATAGAGCCGCGGAATTATTTTCCGTGTGGAACGGTGAATAGTACTTCGGTATGATGAGTTTCCCTGAGGAATCGATATCTGCATCATCATATATGTACTGATGCGAAGTAGGATTTCTTAACTTGTTGCATGGAGTTTGATACGTGCGTGGGGAACAACATCTGTAAAGCTTCGGCGGGCATGACGGAGGGGTCGGAATGTAAGTCAGATCTTTGGGATTGCACGCACGTGCGTGAATGGAATGTTGTCTACTCGGTGCTAATGCTTTTTGAAGATTATCTGGGGTATTGTAATGATCCGACGTATACCGCTTCTGTATGTCCGAAGGAATGTGGTACGTGAAAATTTCATCTGTCCCTTCATCCAGCTAGCACGTGTCTCCTCCCGTAAATCAAACCTGCAACTCACCATTCCTCGATACTAAAGTCGATCTTGAAACCAACGGCGGCGGCGCTATCGGAATCGTCTACAACTCCACAACCAGCGAATGGAACTGCTGCAACGATACCGCGTGCAAGAGTCTCAGCAGTGAGGTTTTTGATGCGCCTGCTCCTTCCTCTTTATCAGTAATAGCTTCACCCACATCAAGACCCTATTCTACTTTTACTACCTCTTCGGCCTCTTCGTCTAGTCCTTCTTCTTCATTAGCGATAACAACTACTTCTTCTGCATCGTCATCGTCATCGACGATAGAATCCTCAACCACAACTCCCCCATCCTCATCCTCATCCTCTCCACCATCCTCCTCATCATCAAAGCTATCCCCCGGCGCCACAGCAGGAATCGCCATCGGCGCCGCCATCTTCATCGCTCTCCTCGCCCTCCTCACATATTTCCTCCTGCGCAAGCGCAAAAACAGCAATAAGCACAACCCCAAAGCGGGAGAAGCATACGCCAAACCGGAGTTAGCAGGCGAACCTGCGAATCGAGCGGAGAGGAGCAGAGAGTTGGCGGGAGAGAGGAGGGTGGAGATGGGCGGGGGTGAAGTGCCGGAGATGGGAGAGGGGAGGAGTCAGGTTTGGGAGTTGCAGGGGGGTGAGAGGGGGAGGGTGGAGTTGGGGTGAGGGTGAGGGGTTGTGGGTGCGAGGGAGAGGGAGGGGAGGGGAGAGGGTGGGATTGTGGATGTGATGTGGTGATGTTAATTTGGGGATTGAGTGTTAGAGAATCTCTCTCTCTCCCTCGCTTGCTTGTGTGATGATTGATACGCGTTATTTTACTGTGTGTGCATTTATTCTCTATTTTTGAACCAAAATCGAATGTGGTGGTTCTTTGCGAGGAGATTGTAACTTAATAAAAAGAAATGAGATGGTAATGATACCTACTTTGCATAGTCCGGTTCAATTCAGTTCAGTTGAGTATGTAGATAGATGTACAGGCTGGAAGATAAGACGGGTAAGCTATTAATTAGACCTTTCGTAGCATACAGATACAGTCTAGGGCTCCTGGTAGATAGATGAAGTGGTACGTAAATAGAAACGAACGTTTGGGGATTATCCCAACATCTCGTCCATTTCGCCTTTGTCGAGATTGGGTTTCTTGTTTCTGCTAGAATGTTTTCCTAATGATGTATGGAGATGCGATGACAGGGTATAGTATAGTGTGTCTAGAAGTCTGAATTGTAATCTAATTATCAAAACTTTGTAATATCGTATCTATTGTAGATGTTGATTTTCTTCTTCTTCTTCGTTTTTGAAAGAGTTTTGATTGTCAAGTGATTTGAGATGAAAAATTTATGAAATTGAATTGTGTGTTAATTCGGATTTTCAAAATTAGATTCGGAAGTAGACTACAGTCTAGGTCTAAACCATATGTAACCACTGCTGCAAACATACAATCGCGATTTGAAGGCGAGAGTTTAGTGCTTTTCGGAAGCCATTTCGTTACTGATTTAGGTTCAAGATGTATATTTCTTATCGACAACCTTCTAATCACTCGTGTCTCCCTTCGCTTGAGATCCCCGATCGAATATGTCATCCCATACAGACTTTTCACGCTTGGCAACCCAAGGTGCAAACTCTGGCTTATCTGAGACCTCTCCTTTACCTTTCATCACACGGCGGACTTTAAAAGTCTTGAGGTCCTCAACAGCTTGCAGACCCAGATCAGACAGATTTATCTTCTTGTACCTACACGACCACTTCACATTGCTGGAGCTGACAACCTTCACGCCCAAAGATGGTAAGCCGAGAATCACTTCCTCGCCCACAATCATGCCCCCATGTGGTCTCCATACCACGACAGGTAGGGAATATCTCCATCTCTCTTCGCCATTCACCGTCCTTAAGAGTCTTTTTAATACCCGGAGCCCTCTCTCGTCCAGAGACCGTTCCAGTTTGGGTATGTCTTCTTTATTAAAAAATCGAACGATTAAGTCACCAGCCTTGGAGGGCATTTCGTTATGTATCTGAAGCCAGTATCGATTATCGAATAGAAACCACTGAGGCTTTGTTCCTGGGAGTAGCTCTGGAACAGTGGTTTCATCAAGTGATGACCTGTATCTAGGTTGACGGAATATATGCCATTCATTCTTTCCCGGGTATTTCCGATCGACATTGAATGGTTGAAACATGATACCAGCGGTGTTGATGGTTTTTGGTTGCGTTGTGACATCAGGTAGTGGGAAAATTTCCAGAACTGCGGCGGAAACCTGATTCAATGATACGATGGAATTTGGCGTGATGGTCATGATTACACGACGGAGTAGCATAGCGGCTAAAATGGATCTGCTGGAGATATCTTGGGGAGTTATAGAAGGTATCGAGGGGAATTCCATAATAAGAGTTCCTCGTCTAGTATCAAAGCTTAGGACTTTGCATTTCTTTATGAGCTGATCAACCTTTTGTTGACGTAGATTTTCAACGTTTTGAAGTTGAGCAGAAAGATCAAGAACTCTAGATTTAGGTAACACCATAGGCAGACCACTCTGATCATATAGATGCCGTATTGCATTCCGGTCTGTCAGGGTGGGATCGCTGTTGGTATTATCTTCAAACCACTCCACGCCTAAAGCCTCACATGTCGCGATGAGTCTTTCTTTTGGAAACTCGAGAAGAGGACGATAGAGAGTTATGCCGCCAGACTCGACTTCTAATTGAGGCATGATCTTTAAAACACCGGATGCAGACTTATCTTTTCCAATGATATTGGTCCACTTTGTGCCTTGTTTGGACTTTATAGGTAGAGCAAGTGTTATTGGGTTTCCACTCTCATGAACTCCATAAATGCCTTCACATTCTGGTATGGGAGAAGAGGGTTTAATACCAAGCAAACCAACACCCCGAGCGCCTTTCGCTAGACGCATTAGGATTGTCTCGGCTTGATCATCGGCGTGGTGTCCAAGGAGAATTGAACTGATATCAGACTTTTGACAATACTTTCCAATTGCCTGAAAGCGGTATTTCCTAGCCAAGCTCTCGAAATTAGGTAGCTGGGAAGGATTCCCAGTAATATCTTTCCATGGGAGAGTCAAAATTCGTGCGGTCATACCTATAATTCATTTTTGTGTTAGGAGCCTACAGACATACAAATCCAAAAAGAATAACATACCAAGAGATTCCAACACCCCCATAACCTTCTGAGCCTCTTCTAGACTGCCATCTCGTACTCCATGATTGACGATAACAGCTCGAAAGTCGATCTTGCCAAGATGTATTGGATATCCATCAGAAGCAAACGGTATGTAGTTCTTTTTCATCTGCATACACAACGCCGCAAGGGCCATAGAATCTACCCCTCCACTCACTGCAAGTCCTATCGGGCAATTAGTAGTAATCAATTGTACAATATAGCAACTACATACCTATAGTCCTATGACCCCGCTGGTCATGACGATAAGGAACTTGACATGGCCTTTTGAAAAGTGCATCGGCAAACTCCTTTATCGAAATCGGAAGTGCATTTTGCTTCATGGTGTTCTTTCCATTATTTGATCAGCATTTCATTCTATCAATATCCACAATAATGCTTGAGGATACAACTGCTATGAAGAGTGATTGTGTCGCGTGTTATCGCGTCAATTGATGCTATCAGCCCGCAAAAAAGAGACGATGAAAATCTACCCGAGCTCCAACCTCAACTTTGTCATCCCAAATTCACCCCAACCATGAATTCGAAATTCACCCACCACATCTATTATCTTCTTTGCCTCGGTACGATCCGGCTTCGGCCACCTTAATACCACTTCTTCTACGGTCCTTAATTATCCCACTTGTTCAATTCCTTCCTTCCGCATAAATGTCACAATCAAACTTCACCCCCGCTCTCCTAGCGGGAGCCCTCGCCGGTACCACGGTCGACCTCACCCTTTTCCCTCTCGATACTTTAAAAACCCGTCTTCAATCTTCTGCCGGCTTTATTGCCTCTGGAGGCTTTACAGGGGTATATCGGGGAGTGGGTTCTGCCATAATTGGCTCTGCGCCCGGAGCTGCATTGTTCTTCTGTACATACGAAGCTACCAAAAGCGCATTCGCGAAACGACGAGATACTTTAAATGCAAATATACCCGGGGGTCGCGAAACGGGGAAAGCAGTTGAGCATATGGTTGCAGCAAGTTTGGGAGAGATCGCCGCTTGTGCCGTTCGTGTGCCCACGGAAGTTGTCAAGCAGAGAGCTCAGGCGGGGCAATATTCAAGCTCCTTACTCACGCTCAAGGCGATTTTAGGACAATACAAACACATTGGAGTTGTAGGAGTGTGGAGGGAACTCTATCGTGGCTGGAGTGTTACCATAATGCGGGAAGTGCCTTTTACAATCATACAATTTCCTCTCTGGGAATCTATGAAGGCATATAGGAAGAGAACAAGTGGAAGAGATACTGTGAACGCAGTGGAAAGTGGGCTTATGGGAAGTCTTGCGGGTGCAGTGGCGGCTGCGGCTACTACCCCTTTGGATGTGCTGAAGACGAGGATGATGTTGGAGAAGCAGAAGAAGTCGACGAAGGTTTTGTTGAAGGAGATAATAGCTACGGGTGGTCCAAAAGCATTCTTCGCAGGGATAGGTCCAAGAGTAATGTGGATTAGTATTGGAGGGGCGATATTCCTGGGTAGCTATCAATGGGCATACAACGAATTGGCTAAGGAGGGAAAGGAATAGAAGGAAATGATACATAGGGCTAAGTTACTGGTGGGGCAAATAGTTTGATGGAATGACTAGGTACACATAGATAGCTTGATGACCACGTAGATACCCTCTCTCTAAGAGCATGATCTCACGATCGATATGAACACAAGTGTAATATTGCCTTAATAAACCAATAGCCTACACAGAATTTTAACGTCACAATGAACAAGCTCAGAGGCAAATCGGTTATTTCCCAGGAGATTTTCACCCACATACCAGCCAACTTCAAGAATTGTATAGACGCCTCTGAAGGACAGAGTATAACGGTACGCATGCTAAAACCTGACTCATTGCAAGCAAGACTATATACATCCAATAATTTTTCATACACGGCTTATTTAGGAACTTCAAAGACCGAATTGAAATGTTGCCCATTTCCTCATCATCGCCCCAAACTGATAAATGCAGAATGAGTATATATTGGGGGATCAAGCCGGAAAATCCAGTACACTCCACCCCTCCAGCTTTGCAGTGATATTACCTAAATTGTGCAAATCTACCTATTCATTGACATATATTTAATTCTATGACCATGTTCGGACGATCTAGTATTGATCACAAAATGGCTCCTTTCCTTCCGAAGCAAGTTCTGGAAATACATTCTGGGGAAGCGAGGTGTAAGTGAGGTGATTGACTTGGCCATTATGCTACCAAATGAAACGCCATATTGAATTCTACGAGGGTTTATAAGTCAATATCATAAACCAGACAGCTCAAATAAGTTTTAGAAAGATCAGTTGATTGACATTTATTATCAGCATCAAAATCGAAGTTCGTTGGTATAAGCACGGCCAACCTTCACTGTCGTTGTATCTCCACCTACTTTTATGGCAACAACGCATCGCTACATTATCACTTCATAATCACCGCCGTCAAGAGCCATTTGATTCCCACAATGAGAGCATAGTCGCACATACATATCCGCACATTCTGTTCATGAGGAAATGAAAATCAGCTGCCGAGATGTTGAAGAACATCTCGCTTCCAGCTGGAGCTTCTTGGATGCTACATATGGTAGTTATTCATAGGCATCTTCAATGAAGAATGTAGTTTATGAGAATTACATAGTTCACGTTAGCCGTGACATTTCAGATCATTGATAGGCCGTAAAAAGACGAGATTCGATCTACGCAACGCATAAGTCTACCAGTTTTGCATATTGATTAATTGTCTCTGGTAGCTTGTAGTTTAGTATAGTAAACTGAGACATAACGTTAAGTATAAGCCAAGTAGAAAAAGAATTAGTTCAATCGTGTACATGGAGGTCTTATTCTCATAGGACAACCCATATAGTATCTGTTTCCTCCGGAAGACCGCACGTTCCCTTTCCTGAGAATTGTTTGACACTCATATATATCCGCATGCTTAGTATTCGTGGGGCATCTACGAAATTGGAGGGCTTATGATTCCCCTTCTGAGTGATGCCATACTAATGCAATGACTATACTATCTATCTCCAATATTCAACATTTTCCATAAGACAGAAGCATAGATCGTGGTAGCTGACAAGCAAAACTACTATAGGGTAGGCAAATACTGTAGTACTGGCATGCCGAACGCAAATCCACAAGGGTGACGAGGGCAGTTACTTTCCACTAAGTTATAAAACAGCTCTGGAATTTGCATTACCAAGTCAACCAGATGAGCACGAGGGCAGGAATGGAGATATGGAATTGATGTAACGATACAAGAAGCCAAATATTCGAATGCTACTCGTAAGGTTCACAGACTTCAAGATCTGAGTGACTTTACGAGGATATGGCAATTCTGTTCAAAAGTAGCAGAAGAGTAACATCGTCATCATCTTCGCTACTATTCCCCAAACTCGGGTTCTTTTGGCGAAGATATACAGCATCATCTCTGGGAGCCGAGATACTATTCTCAGCAATTTCAGACGAGAGACTGCATATACTACACGAAAACCAGCGTTTACAAACAACTTTGCAGAAACCCTAGCCCCTCTTCCAATCAATATTTTGAACATCATGTTCTCTTTCGCTCTCGCTCCTTAGGCAGCACAATACGAACTGTCGTAAGTGGCTCAAATTTTCGACAATGCGACATCATTACTAACAGGAAATGCTGAAAGATCAGAAAACTATGAATGAATACCCATCGCCGACCGAAGCCCGAAGTCGGGTTTCAACAGGCCTCGTAAATCCCGAAGTTCAATTCAGAAGTCTAGATAAGTTTTCTTAATCCTGTTAAAGACCCAAGTTGCAATCTGATCTAGACTGTTAGTTTCGATGTTCTAAAAATATTGTTATTACTCTTATGGGCTTAATTATTTTCAATAAAACAATTAATCAAAAACACTTACCTGAAACGTTAAGAGGAGTTGAATGTTCCAACGTTGTTGATTGTGACATTGCAGTCCGGACTACTGGATACTCTAAGTAAGCACTTTGTTATAAAAAATACTACTACTTCCACGCTGCACCCAACTGTTTCTAAACACAACAGTCTAGAAACATGTGGGATGTACACTAACAGTAAAGTGAAATCCAGGGGACATTGCAGAAGTCAGCGTACCATTCGTACCTCGTAGCATTGCATGGAACCAACTTCGCGGAAGCGAAGACTATGTTGTTTTGAGTAATTGTTCCTCTGATATGATCAAGACCCTGAGCTCCGGAACTCAAGGTAGACTTTCTATCTTTCCCGAGTACCTATCGTAGAGTGTGATTCATTGATATGTTTGGACTAGGTATTTACACAAACTGGAGGGGTTCGTAGATGGTTGCCTACACCGGTATCTCATTGCCTGTTCTCGGGCAAGGAAAATTTTCGAATCATCGTCTGTATAAAGAAGCACAGTTGATGCAGCTTATTTCCCTGAAGAAATGAAAAACTTCAGTGATTACCGGGAGTAGTTCCGTTGCTTCCCCGGTGAACGAATGTAACCTAGAACCATTTTTTGGAAGCCTGGTTGTGAAACGAAATAGCACGATAAGAGGCAGCTCTTACCAATTCAAATGGAATCGCACAATTGTTATTTTTGGGAAGATCTGCGAAATTCCTCACGTTGCAAGGTGGGTGTCGTGCAGCTTTTGTCCTCTATAATCCCGTGATCGACAGCCAGTCTTGCCATGCCGCATCGAATTGAAGCAATTCGGGATTCTACTAGGCATGTGGTAAACATATCACTCTCTGCCATTGTGCTGAATGGCTGTTTTCCTTGTACTGTATGTAATATTCGCATAGTATCAGATGCGTAAGTGAGGTGTCTCGGAGTAGTTCCGTTGCCTTTCTTCTCGGCGATTACCAACCCATCAACTTAGCTTACCGGCGACGTCGGTGATACTAATGGGGTAAGCTGTGTACTCTGACACAGTTCAGCTTTATTAGAGTGACGAATGTTTACAGGGTGTTAACATATCGGATCATGACGGGGCACTGGCTTGGAGGCAGGTGTGAATGGCTACTTGATAGGTCACAGCCGGAAAACCGTTGAGCCATTCAAAATGGGGAGGCACATAATAGGTGGCAAAAAGTCACTCGTGTCATATGAGTAGAAGGATTTCATTCATGGATGTTTGGTTGACAAGGAAAGGCTAGACTAGGGCAACTCGAGACATTCAAGTCAACTTGACCTGTTATTGGCTGAACAAACGACTTCCCATGTTCCAGCGGCACCAAGCTAGTTAAAACCACCTTGTATGGAATTGACCAGATGATTTGAAGCCAAAGCAGATTTATGTTAAAGATCATTTGCTCGAAAAGCGGTTACATAGAATCTCTCCTCGGTCTCGCACTGGGCCGTCCAAGTTCAAAATACAAAATAGGAAAT